AGTTATTAATGCAATTATTATTTTAGTTAAATTCCATTTTTCAAAAATTTCTATTAAAAGTTGTGATATAATTTCTCCAATATAAGGATATAGAATCTGTTTTAGTTCTAAAAGTACTTTCTTAGATTTTCAATCTATTGATATCCAAGAACATATTATATCAATATATCCTTGTTTTGCTCTACTTGTCTAAAAATCTATAGTTATAGAAGCGGCAATATAATCACTTTTTAATAATTTATTAAGTTGTATACAACTTCATATATATTTACTAATTATAATTTTAATTGTTTTATCACAAAGAACAATAAAATTCTTATCAAGAGAATATAACAAATTATGAAAACTTTTGCAATTTAAAATATTAAATACTTGATTATTATTCAAAATGAATTCTATTAATAATTGACAGATTCTTTATATTCTTCTTCTTTTTTTTAATTGTTGATTTTTAATTGCATCTCATATATCTAATTTGGTTGAAGATTTTTTCTCATTTAGTTCATTTAGTTTATATACCTTATGAATTTGTGCAAAATGACTAATTAAATTTGATATTATAAAGCTATCATTATAAGAAATATTATATTCTTTATCATTATATATAATAACAGCACATGTAGATATAATTAAGTTTTCTGAATGATTAAAGTAATGCTATATAAAACTACCTTCTTTTGATATTTTTCTTTCAGATATTAAACTTGTAGTAATAATAATATCACTTTTATTTTTTTCATTTTATTATATACTTCCTCTTGTTCCTGTTATACAACTTTTTTTCTTATATTAGCTGTTGCTTTTGTTTATCTTTTTACTTTTTTTGTTGATTTTTTTTTATTAAAATGTTGTAATTTAAAAGGAAGTTGAAGTATTTCAGTATCTGAATACTTTAATCCCTCTTACTCTTCATATTCCTCTTCAGTTCTTTCATTTTCACTTAGAATATAAATATATTCATCATTATCAAAATTTCTAGAGAAACACTTTCTATTTAAGTTTGAAGGTCCTGCGTGACTGCTCATTATTCTTAAAGAAGTTAGAAAGACCAAAGATCATTTATTATTTATCAGATGTTATTTTAACTAATTTTTAACCAGGATTTCCTGATTTTGTGAAACATTTATTCAATTGAAATTAATAAGGCTAGATTGCCAATGTAAAAATTTCAGTGCGATAATTCATGATATTATTTTTATTTCGGATAAACAAATTAAAGTTGTACATGATAAATCGTTTGTGTTTAAATTAGTTAATTGCTTTAGAATTCCTTAAGACAAATATAAATAATTAAAATTTCATTCATTAATTTTAAACCACAAATATAAGATCGATTTTTCAGTTTGCATGCATAATAGCATCGAAATTTTGAAATGACCCGTGATCTACCTTTATTTTATTAATTACAATATGAAATTTGAACAAAAATACCTGGTATTTATTTTTAATGTAAAAAAATAATTATTTTATAACTACATTTTATATAATTATAAATTCATTTTCTAAACTCTAAAGATTTTAGTTACTACGCCTTTTCAATTAATTATTAAGAATTACTGCGTAACTAATTTTTATAAAATGTTAATATCTTGAGTGTAGAATGCACTCGAGTAATTCAAATAGTTAATTCGAGTAAGAATTCGAGTAGTGAACTCGAGTATATATAATTCGAGTCTACTCGAATCAAAATTTAACTCGAGTTGACTCGAGTTACACGAATACGAGTCCAGTCTCTATTTACTAGTGCTAATAAAACTTAAAATCATCTTCAAACCTTTAAAAATAATTTTTAAAAAGTTAAAGAAAATTTCATTTTAATTGACTTATAATATTATATTAATTTTTAATAATCATTATTTTCTTTTTATAATTATTATATATAAATTTTAAATTAATAATTAAAATTATAAATAATAACTTTTTTTTTATTATATGCTGTATATTGTATGCTATTTTTTTGAAAACTAATTAGGATTAATTAAACCAATTAGAACTTTTAATAACCTACTTGGATTTGAAAGATGAATTAAAAAAGCCATCAACATAGAAAATAATAAATGTAAAACTGAGTTATGCTTTCGGATTAATTACTTCGACATTATTTTGTAAAAAACTGAGATTACTTATTTTTATTATATTGCGACTAAAAAATTATATTTCTCCAAGTATCGCAAAATACAAATACATTATTAACGATGTTGCAATGATTAACCTATTTTCTACTTTAATATTACAAAATTTCATATTTCTTTAACATCTCTAAGAAACTTTGCATATAAACTATTACGAACGATGAAAAATGACGCTATTGGGAAAATAAGAAATAACGAATTAATTTTAATCAATTGTTACAAAATAATAATTTTAAATCATACTTACTTCATGCGTGGAATTATGTTCAGTAGTAAAATTGTGCGCTAATTCATGACAAGCTGTTATGAACCAATAGGTCATGGCATTACTTGTAATTTTAATACTACTTTCTTCTTCATGTAATTCAAGATAAATTTTTAAATTGAAATACAATGCTTTTCCTCTATTAAATGCAATTGAACTTGAATCCTTATCATAAAATACATGGATAGCTTCATGTTTGAGTTGAAAAACCTCTGCAAGTCTTTTTAGGATATTCACGAAACGGGTCAAAGGATCTTTATGTGTTTGAAATAAATTTTCCGTTTGAACATAATAAATTTTAATCCCTTGTAATACTCCGGTCTTGGGTAATAAATTATCTAAAATGATATAATACTTCAATGTTAACGGATGAAAAACTAACAATATAATTATATAATTATTAGAATATATGCTCATACCAGGTATAATTTCGCAATAGCATGGTTGGCTTTCATTACTTATATTGACAATTTGGACTCTGGTACTATCGATGACATCTCCCGAGTTAGAGCGGCAAGCATTAATAGCATCCTGTAGTAGATTTTTAGGTGTAATAGCTATAACAGCTGTAATAACTGGATTGTAACGATGATTCGTCAGACCAATGATCTCAGCAAAACCACCTTTTCTATTATTTTCTTGCTGATGATGTAAATTGAAGTTAGAGTTAGGAGATGTGTCGATACACGAAGGCGAATAACGTTGTATGCCAGACGTGTTGAAATCAGAAAGCAACTTATGACTTTGATTGTTAACATTAATATGGGGAGTGTTGATGTTAATATGAGGAGGAGTATTAAAGTGAGGTGATGTGTTAATGTTAATGTGAGGAGGCTTGTTAATGTGAGCATAAGTGTTAATGTAAGGAGATGTGTTAATGTTAATGTGAGGAGTCGTGCTAATGTGAGAAGATGTGTTAATGTTAATGTGAGGAGGTGTGTTGATGTTAATGTGAGGAAGTAAATTAGAACGTCGTATGTTAGGAGAAAGTATTTAGTCTTTTAAGTCAGGTGCGTCAGGTAAATCAGTTGTATAATAAAAGGTACGTTGTAAGTTAGGTAAGTCAGGTATGCAATCAACTGGATATATTTTTGCCAATTCTGATAAAGGTGTGCTTAAAATTGAATGGATATGCAAAACATTATCCGGTTTGTTTGAACTGTAGATATGCCTTGCTAAAGATTGTGCAATATCAAGAAGTTCTGAATTAGGTGTCACATAAAGAATCCATGAGTTCTTCGATTCCCTTTTAATGCAAGCAGCAATAGATTTTCTTTGAGTATCATAAGTTGTTAATGTATAAGTCGCTTCTATTTGTTCAACATTCCTAACTTTCAGTTTCTTAAGCCACTCTTCGTCTTTTTCTTTTTTAATCTCGTTCTGGCGACCATGATACAATAAGCGTGCTCTTTCCATGATCGTTTTTAATATCGTTCGAGAATTCTCGGTTTCTTGAGCAATCCCTGTTGGTCTTGCAGTTTCCGTTACAGACCCATTTAGTGATTTACATCCTAAATCCTGAATCGAAAAAGAAATAATCAATAATTAATAATCATATCAACTGAAATAAAGGCAAATATAAGTCACAAACCTTATACATAGTTTTCAGATTGTCATTGTCAGGAGCTGTCAGCGGTTTAAAAACTTTTTGATATGCTTCGTCGTCATTTATGAAAATATTATTCGCTGAAGTCAATTGGTATTCTATATTATTACCATCATGCTTTATAGCCGCCAAAATAGGTGCCTTCTTCATCTTTTCAAACAAATTTGGTTGATTGACTATTGTATACCGATAATCAGCGGCAATCCTATTCAAAATGTATAAATATGTTTCATATTTTCCAATGGATTTCCAAATATTACGTGATGATTTCACTAACAATTCGGCGATTTCTACTGATGATGGTTTGGTTCTTACACCACAACTTTCCAGAAATTTATTGGCCTTTTCCCCAAAGTCGATAAATGTAAAAAAATCATTTAAACTGAAAAAAAAAAAAATCTTTTAAAAAGTTAACCTTAAACCATTTTAAAAAATATATATAAGAAATTAATCATATACCATTCTTCTTGATCAAAACGATTAAGGTAGCAATTACGTGGATTTGTACGATTTATTCCACTAGGTCGAGTTTTATCTTCAATTGGAATAAAATTGTAACTAGCAAGAATCGTCCAATTAAAGCTTCCCCGTTGTGAGGCCAGAAATTCAAAGATTTCTTTCGCCTTATTCACATCTTGCGGTGGAGAATTAGTTAACATACTTTTGAGTTCTTCAATACTAGGATATTGACGAACACCAAGTTGTGGCACTTTAAACCGTAAATCTTGACGTACAGCTTGGAAGTTCATGATCGTACATTCAGGGTTAATAAAACACTCTAAAGGCTTTGCGTAATTACCCGGGCTCAAACAGGGTAAAAAGGCAACTTTAGTCTTGGCTGGATCATAACTTCTAGAATATTTTTCATTAAAATTATCAATAAAATATTTAAGAGCCTTTCTCGAATCGTTGGTTCAGATGATGCGGCTAATTCTAGGATAGTTTTAAGCGTGGGATATTCACGTAAACCAAGATCAATTAAGAATATTCCTACAAATAATGTGTATATATATTAAGCAAAAACTAGAAAAAAAAATAATTATTATATAAGAAATTCAAAATATATATACCTTCTGGTGCACTGCGAAACCAAGTTTTTTTCCAATTAATTATTGGCAAACCAAATTCACGATATAGTGCTAGAGGTACATGTAAATCACGAATAATGAAGCGTTGGTTTTTTGAATTTGAATCTATATGATCTTCTTTAGGCCAGATGGCTGTAGTTTTTAAAATTTTAATTTCAGAATCTTTGAGATTCTTGAATTCTGAAGCGAGATATTTCACAATTGGCATATGATCATAATTCGCTTTATTCTTAAGACGATCAAAAATGAGCTTTAATTCAACAACCTATAGATATTCAGAAAGAGAGGTTTATGTTAACTAAATACTATGAAAAATAATTTTAATAATAGTTAGTTTTCGTTTACCTTTCGAACGCCCAAGAGTTGCATTACATTATGAACACTTGAAGGTTTTTGAAATTGGATTTTTGGTAGGTCGGGGAATATATTAACATTTTGGAAATAAGCTTCGTTAGGAAATTTCATTCCAAATTCTGTGGGAATACATTTCTTTTGAACAAAAAGCTTTCGAATTATTTCCTTGTTATATTCTGAAGTTTTTTTAAGATTTTTTTCTAAAATACTATGAACTTTTTCAGCGAATATAGGGTTGACTTCCAAATTGGGATCGTTAACGATAAAACTCGCCCAGAAAACCAAAGATAACTCTGACAATCCCAAATATTGTTTAAGATCTTTACATTGTAAACTTTTAGAAATGATATATGGTAGAACTACAATCGGTAAATCCATATCTTTTGGGATTATTCCCAGATTCAAGAAATGATTAAATGTGTTTAAGGCTCGATATTTATCACCAATACGTATCATAGCATATTGCATGAACTCTGATTTCTCTAAATTATTATTATTTCCATTTGACCTATAAAAAATCCACCATTCCAAAAGCTCAATAATTTCATCTTCACAAAGTCTTCGACTTTTCAATTCATGTAGAACCTCTTGAAAGGTTAATTTTTTTATAAGTTTCATTGCAAATGCTTTTCATATATCATATCTGAAACGACTGGAACTTTTTTTATGAATCCCGCCATTCTTGGATTAGGAATGAAAACACTAGATATTGGATACACCCCATTTTTTGACAAAATAGATAATTTTTGTTCTAAGCAATTGAAAAATTGAGATTCTATGATTTCTCCAACGCGTGAATTCGGCGTACTTTTTTGGAACGTAAAGTGTTTCAAAACATGTACTGCTCGTCTTTCAAGCCGTTTACGGGTTTTACTAGTATTTTCATTGTCAGATTCATTGTCAACGCCAGACGTTTCATTATAAATTTGTTTTATTTGACTCATTTCATCTTCATATACAATTCGACACAATGTTCCTGCTATACGTAGCAAGTCTTCGTTATATATAGCCAAAGTTTTTTCTACCAAGTCAATCGACTCTCGGTCCACCTAAATAGCACAAGATGAACAAATTAATAACAAAAATCAATTAAACAAATATAGGTATACAGGTACATACAGTGGGAATTACACGAGCTGCAAAATTAGAACAACATCCAGTGGTTTGATGAGTTGGAAACCCGATATAAATCTTTCCTTGTTCGGGATATGGAAGTAAATCTTTAAAGATTTGGGAAGTATTACCCTCAAATGAATTGCCAAATTCAGTAAATATCATTTGGATATTTGTCTCTTTTGGAGGTTTCTTTTTAGTAATTCGCTCCATTTCTGTGGAAAACTTTTCATCGACTCCAACATCTAAATTCCCACTTATCATTCTAAGAAATATGGATGTTTCTTCTGTATGATCATCAGCGATTATATTTGTTGGGATAAGCAATCTTTTTAACCTTAATTGAACCTTAATAGCATCTACTGAAGTAAGCTTAACCAATTTTTGTGGAGTAAAAACGTCGAATCCAGATAAGTTCATCGATCTCGGTTTTTGCATTTCCTTTGACAGTTGTACCATCAATGTATTATTAAAATACACAGAAATTTCTCGGAGATTTCCCGAAAATCCCTATTTTTTTTAGTATATTAATGAATATCAATGAGGTTGTGAATATTATAAACTTAAGAGGTACTTAAACAATAAGTTTACCAATGAATTAGCCAAGAACCGTGTAAAATTTTCAACATTTGGAAACTAATAAACATAAATTAACGCGTCAAATGTTAGCTAAATATCAAAAATGGTTATGAATTATTTTCTAAAAAAAAAAAAAAAAAAAAAACCATACATCTGTAGGTTCTCTCATATCCATTAAAAATGTTGTCCAAGCCTGATCTTTATCGCCAGTTGATCCCAGTTTGGTAAATAATTGGTCTTTACGCCAATAAAAGGCCATTCCTTGTCCACCCGAAATAACACTATTCAAATATACCACGGGTTAGTCTCGCTCATTAAAAAAAGAAAACTTTTTTTATAACAACTTACAATGGGTTTTCACAAACTGAAAACAACGAATAAAATCCTACGCCAAAAGCTCCTATCTAATTTATAAAGTAATAAGATTAATAGACAAAGTAATAACAAAAGAACCCATTAAGGAATTTAAAATGTACTTTATGCTCATCAGGGTTTCCTTCGGCAATTCTCTTTAATCGATTCCAATCTTGAGGTCTGAAATCGTAACCATTGTTTTTGAAAAGAATTCGTATAATTTTATCTTTTAATATATTTTTATCCGTGTCTGGATTTGCCGTTTCAAATCTAATTTGTATACTTGAAGACTTTGCATCATCTTTATTAACGATAAAATACTCAATCATAAATCAGATTATGAATCAAACTGATAAATCATTAAAAAAAAATTTGTACCGGAATTTTGCATTAATTCACGATAGATTACGTATTCAGAAGAGTATCTAAAGTGAAAATTAAGCTGTTAATAAGTAAAAAACAATGAAACTGAGACCATTACAAAATTCTGTAACTTACCGAGCCAAAATCTTGTCGATCAATAGTCTTTGGTTGACTTCGACGCGTTCCTCACCAGAATTCGAAAGAACATTATTTCTAATCGCGTCTAAGGACATTTGGATTTATTAGAATGAAAGTACAGTACTTTATTTTTTTTTGAAATTTTAATGTATTTATTACAATGAACCATATTTATTGTTGCCTAAAAAGGAACTGGTTCATAGTGGGCGTTAATTACCGAAAATCGATCAAATTTTTGGCGCAGCAACCCTTAAATTGTAACGTTACTTTTTTTTTTCCGATCCGAATGATCCAATTTCGGTTGATGCAAAATCTGATGCAAATATGATTGGCCGAAATTTGTATTCACCAGAAAAATAGCAGACCGAGGAGCCAATCAAAAATTTCTTTTTTTTTTCGTAGTTTCGCGAAAAAGTTCGCTTTTACTTTCTAGACCTTCTCAAGGTCCTCCCTTACTTCCCAAAATTCCATAACAAAGACAGTCTTTACATTCCGATTTTATAAAAATGTATAATCAATTCAACTTGTATCATCAGCGCGGTAAAATTAATGATAAATAACTTCACATAACATCCATCATATAGCATCATATTTTTTTTATTAAAATTAATAAAGTTTCTTTCAAATTGGCGTTTGGATATAATAAGGAGTCTTAGAATTATTGTAATTGTATACTCCGATTAACATTCAAAATATTTAATATAATATGACTCGTATAATCAAGATATTAATGACACGTGACAATCACTTTTTGTATATTTACGTGATGAAAGTTTGATGAAAGCTTGATGCAACGAATATATATAAAGGAACCAATTTGTATTCTCTTGTCTCACTTTATGTTAAAAAATTTTTTTTAAATGTCTGATACAAAAATTTGCAATATAAATAATAACCTCGCTTTTACTGAAAAAGAAAGAATAACATTACGCTCCTATTTTTATAAAATTCCGATGTAATCTTGATACTTGTTAAAACGTCAAATGAAAACTTATTGAAGAGACTTTCCTTAAGAACGGTCTGTTCTAACTTTTTGAATATATCTTCCCAAGTATCGCCCCAAAATTTCACCCCCATCTCCATTTTCACTATGTATTCAGGTGAAAAATATTTATTTCACCCTTCTTATGTGTCACCGGACACGTGGGTGATGGTTAAATTTTGAACATTTCACATTAACTAACTTTGCATTTTTGGTCTCCTAACCAGATTTGATGCACATCAAGGTAAGCGTTTGCGTCGTAATATTTGTTCAACATGAACGTGACACATGAACCTTCCTTTTTTTGATTACGTTGTCATATTTACCAGCAATATTAAATAATCATCTATGTAGGTCCTAAATGCTGGAAATCATATATTGCCATCGTTTCATAGTTGATATGTTCATGGACAGCCAATTCAAACCTGATCCTCGGTCAGAACTTGCCTCTTTATTAAATGTAAAGGCCGGAAACAACATTACGACAAAATACCTTGGTCAACAACCCAAACATTTCACAGAGGGCTATCAGGGAACGCAATTTCTCATTACTAAGCAGATGATGGACATTTGGGAAAAACTTGATAGTAACAGCATGCATTCAACCAAAAGAATCTTATCAGGACCAGTTGGCATAGGGAAGTCATATCTCGCTTAGTTTCTTGCAGCTAAGGTGTATGCCAATGGTTGGTTTATGCTTTATGTAGCCGATGCCTCTGATCTAAACACTAGCGATGCGGTAAGTACAGAATCTGCAAGCATTTTTTTTGCATTTAATAAAGATACCATTTTGACTTCTGCCGTCCTTAATCTGTTAGTAGAATACATCAATGAAGATGTCAATTACTGTTGTTATTTGATAGTAACTTCACGGGTTATCAGAGATTACTTCACAGTTCACGGTAAGCAATACATGATGGATATTTTGCCACTTTCGTGGCAAAATCCACCAATCAATGCATTGTTCATAGTAACTGTGGAGTTATCGGCGATTACCTGTAAAGTTACGTTATATTTATCCAGTTCAGATAATTAAACTTTCGCTGTTGCAAGTTACTCAATGGCCAAAGTATAATTATCATATGTGGCTGTGTAAATATAAAATGATATGTTACAATGATTTTCGTCAATCTATTCAAGCAAAAAATTTCTCGCAAAACTTTATTTGTCGTTGATGAGCATGGGGTGTTGTTTGATAGTGAAATTTCGGTACATGATCGTCTTAATTCATTGTTTCCTCTGAAGTATCTCACCTTTAGGAGTGAATCAATGAATGGGACACGTGTGGTTTTTACGGGTACCGCTCACGCACGATTCGAAAAGGTTTACCTTAAAAATGGAATGCAGGATTAGCTTATCTTCGTTGGACTGATGTCACCCGAAACTTTCGAACAGCTGTTAATCGCAATCTCCTCTCAATTCGATTCAACTGTCCGTAATTATATACATATTATAAAAGAAGAAATGATGAAGATGACCAACTGTGGAAAGTTTTGATTTTTTTAATAATTTAAGTAGTTGCTTAGGCCTTTTATTTGTAGTTTTAAGTAAATATTATAAATTAGATTTTAATTTAAAATTTAATGTTGAAACAATTGGAGAAGTATTGTTAATATGAATAATTTGATTAGTATAATTAAATATTAAAATAAGAAATTTATTTAAATAAGCTGAGGAGTTAATTTTGAAGTAAATAAAGATTCCTGATTTTTATTTTGAATTAGATGTATTGTAGATTTTATAGTTGAATAGAAAATTGTAATTTTTATAAAAAGTATGAGTAATTAATAAAGTTATATTTGACATGAATAAGATGAAAAATTTGACCAAAGTATTTGTTTAGTAGATTAAAAAATAGAAGATTGTTTACTAAATAAAAATTAAAATTATATAATTTTAAATAAATTTATCTTTTATGAGATTAAAAAACTAGAAAAAATGTTTTATAATGATTATTTGATTATTAAAATGATTAATGTTTAAATGAAAAAAATTAATTTTAATTATATAAAAAATTTATATTTATTAACTTTATTAAAAAATTTTAAGTTTATTAAGTAGTATTTTAAATAATTTAATTTTTTATAAAATTACTTAATAAATTATAAAAATTATAAATAATTAAAGTTATTTTTCATAATAAATTTATAATATTCTATTAGTATTAATTATTAAAATAAAATTTTTTAAAAATTATAAATTTTTAACTTATAAGTAAAGATAATTATTTATTATATAATTAAAAATAAAAATTACTATGATATAATATATAAGATCTTTGCAATAAAATTATATAAAAATAGCTGAAAAATAAAGTAAATTAATGTTAAATCTGAATATAATTTTATATTTGACATATAAAAGTAAAAATAATTTTCCTGGCAGTTTTCTTATTTTTATTGAAAAAATCCTATATATTTATATAATTAATTTTTTAAAAAATTTTTTTAAAAAATTTTAATTTTTATAAAAATAAATTAAAAAAAATTTATAGTAAATAAGTAAATAAATTTGCCTACTAATCTTTATAATTTAAGAGATTAAGTAAATTATAAAAGAAATATAAATGTAATTAAATATCTTTAAAAATTAAATCTTAAAGGATATTCTATCAAAATTTAATATTTAATTAATAATACTAATTTTATATAATTTAATATTTATATCAAAATTTTTTTATTAATAAAATTTAAATATAGAAAATATTTTAAGTAGGCTAACTATTATAAAACTGATATTTGATTCTAATTTTTTTAAATATAATAATTTTAACAATTTAAAATTCTTTAGTAATAATCTGTTAATTTCTATATTATTATCATAGAATTCTTCAATTTAGGTTGGTCATATATTCTTAAATCTCTACTTGAAGTTACTAATTGCAGTTTATTATAATTTAGACATTAAGATTCGTCTAAACTTTTAATTTTACCAAATCTATAGTTAAACTTTAATAAATCAATCAAGTATGAAGACTTGAAAGATGAGATTACAAACTATTTAGTTAAAGAATTTAAATGACAAACTCAATTACAAATAATATATAAAGATTATATCAGACTATATAAAGATACAAAGAGGTAAAAAGATTTAAGTTTTGAATTAATTCTTTTATTAATATTGTAACTTATATTTATAAAAGAGTTAATTTACAATATAAGAAAAATGTTTATCTATTTATACAAAATTTCTTTTATAACTTCTAATTATTTACTATACTATAACTAATTAATATAATAAGCAAAATAAGTATATATAAAATAATAGAAATATAAGATATAATAAAAATAATAATAAAAATTAGAATATTAAAAATAAGTATAACACTAAATATTTTTAGACTTCTTTTAATTTGTAAAATTAAAATTATTATCAGTATTTAAAAGATTTGCAAAATTACATAGATCTTCCATATTTTAGAATTCACAGATTTTTAGTATTTTCAGAATTCTAGATTAAAAGATTATCATATTATATCATTCATGTGACTTCATTATTATTGATCAATTGCTTTGTTGATAATATGATAAAAAATAAATCTTAATAATTTTATATATTCTAAATCTATTTGTATTAAAGGTTCAGGTAAAACCTGATTATTACACCCAATCCGAATCTGAAATCTAGACGATATTAGTTACGCTTCAACAAAAAATTTCTGAAATGTCTGATTGAGTCTGATAGAAATTTTCTAAAACTTAATTATTCACGTAAAAATCAAATATATCACATTATTAGTAAGACAAACATTAATGCATTCACGTCTTACAAAATAGAGGTTAATTCAACTACTTCAACTAATGATACTTTATTACCTCTGGAGGGGTGTCGACTCAAACGGGTTTGAAATATAGCAATGAAGGGTAGTGGTAGTTTTTAAAATTTTATTTCTTGAATGCTGTATCTTGATTGTGTGTGTTCTTTTTGAATTCAAATAACCTTATCACAGTACTGCATCGTTAAATCTAAAAAAAAAAAAAAAAATACTTCATTACCTAAATGAAAAATTGGTGAAAAACCTAAATCAATAGTTTGGGAAACATATATTCAACAAGGAAAGAAAATTTCAAAGGTCATTGGAACGCAACATGTAATTATTTAGTATAAAGTACAAAATATGTTTTTTTTTCATTTTAACTGCTTTTCTTTTTTAAATGTGAAATTTTTGTTTTTA